TTTTCTTCAATTCCTGTATTTTTTCATATCGTAATATACTGTATATCGCAGGGGAAGAAAATATCGCAATGTCAGTTTTTTCCAATATCGTGCAGCCCTAATGTAAATGGTCTGCAAAGGCTCAAATCCCCGTGTCCCCTCCTCCAATTCCCTTACAAACAACATTTAACATTGAACAGATCTGTCATTTATTGTTGGTGATAAACAGAATCATTATATTCTATAGCAATGTTATACTGTAAAAAAAAAAAAGCCATTGTTCTTTTTACTTGTCTTCGTTTAATTAAATCTACCTTGTGATACTTCTGTACTTCAACTCAATGCAGGACTTTTACTTGTAATGGAGTATTTTCCGACCGTGGTATTTCTATTTTTACTTCTTCCACCACTGGTAGTAATAACTGGGAATAGTAATCCTGTTTTAACACATATTTCTGTCTGTGATTTGTCCTCTCTGTCCACATAACAGCCCCCCCGCTGTTTGTTTCTCACCTCTTAGGCCAAGCTGAGAAACCATATGTGTAGAAAAACAGGAGAGAAGGGAGATGGTAGTTACTGTTTACTGTTGACTCCAGGTCTTATGATCCTGGTCCCCCACAAGACCTCTGTGATGGTTTGCCCCAATTGAGTTTCTATTTTTATTCTGTTTGCCTGACAGTTGCACCTGTAAAGCTGACAGGTTTCCTCATGGCCCAAATCCAGCAAAACTAAAAGGGCCCTATCTAGCTCAAATTCAGGTGTATATCAGTATGTAGTGTCTCTACTTTAAAGAGTCCTCTCCTGCTGATGTTCAGGTGTATATCAGTATGTAGTGTCTCTACTTTAAAGAGTCCTCTCCTGCTGATGTTCAGGTGTATACCAGTATGTAGTGTCTCTACTTTAAAGAGTCCTCTCCTGCTGATGTTCAGGTGTATATCAGTATGTAGTGTCTCTACTTTAAAGAGTCCTCTCCTGCTGATGTTCAGGTGTATATCAGTATGTAGTGTCTCTACTTTAAAGAGTCCTCTCCTGCTGATGTTCAGGTGTATATCAGTATGTAGTGTCTCTACTTTAAAGAGTCCTCTCCTGCTGATGTTCAGGTGTATATCAGTATGTAGTGTCTCTACTTTAAAGAGTCCTCTCCTGCTGATGTTCAGGTGTATATCAGTATGTAGTGTCTCTACTTTAAAGAGTCCTCTCCTGCTGATGTTCAGGTGTATATCAGTATGTAGTGTCTCTACTTTAAAGAGTCCTCTCCTGCTGATGTTCAGGTGTATATCAGTATGTAGTGTCTCTACTTTAAAGAGTCCTCTCCTGCTGATGTTCAGGTGTATATCAGTATGTAGTGTCTCTACTTTAAAGAGTCCTCTCCTGCTGATGTTCAGGTGTATATCAGTATGTAGTGTCTCTACTTTAAAGAGTCCTCTCCTGCTGATGTTCAGGTGTATATCAGTATGTAGTGTCTCTACTTTAAAGAGTCCTCTCCTGCTGATGTTCAGGTGTATATCAGTATGTAGTGTCTCTACTTTAAAGAGTCCTCTCCTGCTGATGTTCAGGTGTATATCAGTATGTAGTGTCTCTACTTTAAAGAGTCCTCTCCTGCTGATGTTCAGGTGTATATCAGTATGTAGTGTCTCTACTTTAAAGAGTCCTCTCCTGCTGATGTTCAGGTGTATATCAGTATGTAGTGTCTCTACTTTAAAGAGTCCTCTCCTGCTGATGTTCAGGTGTATATCAGTATGTAGTGTCTCTACTTTAAAGAGTCCTCTCCTGCTGATGTTCAGGTGTATACCAGTATGTAGTGTCTCTACTTTAAAGAGTCCTCTCCTGCTGATGTTCAGGTGTATATCAGTATGTAGTGTCTCTACTTTAAAGAGTCCTCTCCTGCTGATGTTCAGGTGTATATCAGTATGTAGTGTCTCTACTTTAAAGAGTCCTCTCCTGCTGATGTTCAGGTGTATATCAGTATGTAGTGTCTCTACTTTAAAGAGTCCTCTCCTGCTGATGTTCAGGTGTATATCAGTGTGTAGTGTCTCTACTTTAAAGAGTCCTCTCCTGCTGATGTTCAGATGTATATCAGTATGTAGTGTCTCTACTTTAAAGAGTCCTCTCCTGCTGGTGTTCAGGTGTATATCAGTAAGTAGTGTCTCTACTTTAAAGAGTCCTCTCCTGCTGATGTTCAGGTGTATATCAGTAAGTAGTGTCTCTACTTTAAAGAGTCCTCTCCTGCTGATGTTCAGGTGTATATCAGTAAGTAGTGTCTCTACTTTAAAGAGTCCTCTGGTTGGTGATGTTTCACTTGCTTTTGCCGAGGAGACATTTACATTTGTATGTAAATATAATGCACAATAAAGTAACCTGAATCTGAAACAGCTCTTTGGCTCCTCAGGCAAAGTCAAACGTTCCCTGAGGCCCTCAGCGTCGTGTGGATTCTCTGTAACCTATAAAGCGCTCGGCCACATTTACATATCTGTTGTGAACAGTGTGATCTATTCGAGCGTCTGCTATCTCTGATGGTGATTGTGTAAATCAGTTGGTAGGGCAGAAAGGTGTTGATAGAGCTGAGTATGGGCACTGTGTGTGAGGTGGATAAGATACTGCATGTGTGTGAGGTGGATAAGATACTGCATGTGTGTGAGGTGGATAAGATACTGCATGTGTGTGAGGTGGATAAGATACTGCATGTGTGTGAGGTGGATAAGATACTGCATGTGTGTGAGGTGGATAAGATACTGTATGTGTGTGAGGTGGATAAGATACTGCATGTGTGTGAGGTGGATAAGATACTGTATGTGTGTGAGGTGGATAAGATACTGCATGTGTGTGAGGTGGATAAGATACTGCATGTGTGTGAGTGTGCTTCCTGTTCTCTGTGATATGCTATCATGGTGCCTTTCTGACTGTCTGTTCCTGTGTGTTTGGTCATCATCAGTACCTTCCTATCACCTGCTTTTAACCTGTAGGCTTCAACCGGGACAAGACGGACCCCCGACCTCCAGCATGGGCACAACCTGGACCAGGAGCAACTTTAAAAAGCACACAACAAACAACCTCACAGCCTCTAAAGAACATCAGCATCAAGGGATAGCAGGTGCTTTACTCATCTGCTAAAACAACACCATTTGCTCTAGGAGGAGATTCAGGTGGGTGTTTTTTATAGGGATGGATCAGGACAAAAAGAGAGGGGGTCTTTGTTCCTGACACTCTGAACACAGAGGGCACACATGTTTGTGTAGAAGAGACATGAATAAGTGGATTTTGCACAATAGGTGACCTTTTAATCGAGCACCTGGAGATCTACCTGGTAATCAATATTACTCGTTCAGCGTTAGCGCTCTTTAGCGTTCGAGCTTTGGCAGCTTTTGACAGAGAGTGTAACTTGGCCCTCCGGTCCCAGAGGAGTTGTGTTACACTCGCTGACAGACCTTATACATGTTTCATCTGCTGCTCTCAGAACAGAAGACCCCTTTGTTATCTAATCCAGCCCTCTGCTCTGCAGCCGGAGAGACGGAGCGCCACAGTCCGTCAGACGTCCTGAAACAGATCAACACTCAGGAGCAGCACAGGATATCAGGACCAGACAGTTCTTCAATCCATATGTTAGCGCCTGGAGGAGGCTTTCAAATAATCAAGCAGAACTGAAACATCGTCCAGGGGCTAAACTGTGCCTCATTGGTCCGTCAGACGTCCTGAAACAGATCAACACTCAGGAGCAGCACAAGATATCAGGACCAGACAGTTCTTCAATCTATTGGTCAACACCTGGAGAGGGCTCTAAAAGAATCTGAGGAGCCACCAACATCGTGAAGGAGCTAAACTGGGCCTCAAGTGTTCTGCTTTTTGCTGCACAACTGTAGCTTTAAGGAGCTTTAAAAGGGGCTTCAGAAGAAGAAGATGGACCTTTAGAAATTCCGTCTTTCCCTCTGTTTTTTTCATACACGCACATGCAGTTGTAAATTCACATACAATACACACAGTTACAGTATACACAGGCACATGCATCGAGAGGAGAAGCAGGCCGTTTAGCCCGCGCCAGTGAGCAGTTGGGGGTTCGGTGCCTTTGCTCAAGAGCACCTCGGCAGCGGCCCACGAGGTGATCTGGCTTCTCTCCAGTACCAGTCCATACTCCGTACTTCTTGTTCTGATCGGGACGTGAACCGGCGACCTTTCAGTCCGACGTCCGAGTCCCTACAGACTGCCGCCTTTTCTTAGGTGTTGCTACAAGGACCTTTTCTTAGGTGTTGCTACAAGGACCTTTTCTTAGGTGTTGCTACAAGGACCTTTTCTGAGGTGTTGCTACAAGGACCTTTTCTGAGGTGTTGCTACAAGGACCTTTTCTTAGGTGTTGCTACAAGGACCTTTTCTTAGGTGTTGCTACAAGGACCTTTTCTGAGGTGTTGCTACAAGGACCTTTTCTTAGGTGTTGCTACAAGGACCTTTTCTTAGGTGTTGCTACAAGGACCTTTTCTTAGGTGTTGCTACAAGGACCTTTTCTGAGGTGTTGCTACAAGGACCTTTTCTTAGGTGTTGCTACAAGGACCTTTTCTTAGGTGTTGCTACAAGGACCTTTTCTTAGGTGTTGCTACAAGGACCTTTTCTTAGGTGTTGCTACAAGGACCTTTTCTTAGGTGTTGCTACAAGGACCTTTTCTTAGGTGTTGCTACAAGGACCTTTTCTTAGGTGTTGCTACAAGGACCTTTTCTGAGGTGTTGCTACAAGGACCTTTTCTTAGGTGTTGCTACAAGGACCTTTTCTTAGGTGTTGCTACAAGGACCTTATCTGAGGTGTTGCTACAAGGACCTTTTCTTAGGTGTTGCTACAAGGCTAGTTAGGACGTCCTGAAACAGATCAACACACAAGATATCTGCTATCAGGACTTCTCCGCCAGTCCTTCTCTAAAATAATCAAGCAGAACTGAAACATCGTCCAGGAGATAAACTGTACCTCAACTGTTTCTGCTCCTGCTGCTTTGAGGAGCTTTTAAACGGGCTTCAGGTGTTGCTCCAAGGCTAGTTGGGACCATGAGTGAGAGCCTGAGACTGCCTTCGCTCCAGGTGAGCGTCCCGATCGACGACCCGTTGTACTCGGATAACGGACGCAATGCAGTGTCTGACGGCTCGATGCGCTCCAGCTCTTCCACGCCGACGCTCCGACGCAAACGCTTCAAGATGCGCCGCATGAGGAACGTTCCCAGCGTTCCCAGCGAGCGGGAGCTGGAGAAAAGCCGACGTCCGGCCGCCAATCTTCCCCACTCCGGATCCAAGGAGTACCTGCAGCTGCCGTCCATCGAGATCACGCCGTCCAGCGACGAGGACGCCACCTCTCATTGGTCGAGATGCTCCACGCCGAGCGCATCGCCGCGCCGCAAACGCTTCCTGCTGAGGAAGTGGCTGAGTGGCCGGCAGAAGAAGGAGCAAGGCAGCGAGAGCAGGTTGGTGTTGACTCATTTCATCCTAAAATCTGTAGTGTTATCTCTCCAGGCTGCTCCGAGGGTACCTGCACTGATGTGTTGTTGCACTCACTTTTTTATTTATTCTACTATTTCGACGATTAGACATCTGTGTTTTTTAATTTTTGTTTTACTTTTATGTAAACCAAGTCAAATTCCTAGTACGTGTCAACCTACCTGGTGATAAACCTGATTCTCATTACGACTCATTTTATCCCCAAATCTTTAGTGATACCTCCAGGCTGCACTCATAGCACTAACTGAACCAGAGATAGACATGTGTTGGAAGTAATATGGTCTTTGTTGACATTAGCATCGCTAGCATGGTGCTATACTCGACTCATTTGATATATTTGGAAGACAGTTGAGAACATTTCACCAGTTACAATGAAATAGACTTGCGGTTACAGGGAGTAGTAAACATTTGCAATAAGGGAACAGTTTTCATGTGTTGTGTCTTGATATGTGTCTGCTGATGTTACACCTGGAGCGGCTGTGATGCAAGGAGCATTTCAGACTTGATCGTTATAGGATTATCGTATCGTATCGTAGAATACATTGAAACCCTCCCCTTGTCATTGTCCTCTTTTTTTTATGTGCGCTACTCGACTCATTTCATCCCCAAATCTTTAGTGTTATCTCTAGTCTGCTCCGACCTGCACTGATGTGTTGTTGCACTAACTGAACGAGAGTTAAGTAGTATTAGAAGATTGAAGACGTCTGTGTAGCTTCAGGTGTCTGTTCTCCTCTCAGAGTGTGATGCTTGAAGACAAGACAGAGCACTTCTAAAGATCCTTCAATCTGAAATAATGAATGGAGAAAGAAATAGATAATAAGATAAGATAAGAAGTACTTTATTGATCACAATTTGGGAAATGTTTGCGTTGCAGAAAAAGACTTGGCATTGTACACTAGAGAAATTAAAAGACAAGAAATAAACAATCCAAAATGTAAACATCTCAATAGAAATACACTAGCATTAAAACTAAAAGTAGAACAATATACATGTTGAATTACAAATGTACAGTAACAAAATATAAAGCAGGATATTTTATATAAATAAGTATGTGAGGAATGGAATATTAAATATACATGTCAAATGTACAGTGTGATTTTAAGTCCAGTTAAAAGGCAACTCTTCGGTGTTCCTGTGGATTAATAGAATGGTGCAGTGACGAGTCCTAAAACCAGGAAGTGAGTCAGCATTTCAAACCTTCCTGTTCCCTCGTCTCAGAGCCAATGGGATCTCTCCATAGGATTTAGGAAAATATCTGAAATAAGGTCTGTGGTTGAGACACATTGAAGAGACGGATCACGTTTTGTTCATTAAATCCATCAGCAGTGACCCCACTGGTGATTTCTGAAGAGTTGACGTGTCTGAAAAACGATGGTTGTTACCAAGTGGCTGAATAGGACTACAGAAGTCGTGGAGGACGTTGTACGTCATTACGCCGAACACGTAAACACTCCTCTAAGTTAGTTTGCCCTGTTCTGCTTGAAAGCAAGTACCTGCCTCCTGCTAACTGTTCAAACAAACGCTTCAACTCGTACCATTTAGAATCTGTGTGTTTGAATATGGATCTGAAGTTGGCGTGACGTTGAAGTCGTGCTGCTGGACTCGCCTGTAGTTCCTTTATAGCATCACGTTAGCATTTTGCTTCTGGACATTAGATTTATGATTAGAACATTATAAAAGTAGAGACATGTGGAGATGATCCGGCTGAACAAAACGTGCATTTATCAAACAGGTTATTTTTCCACAGATCTTATTTCCAGCTATATTCCAAAATCCTCTGGAGAAATCCCGTTGCTTTTTTGTCGAGGGAACCAGCAGCTTCCTTCTGGGTGAATACGTCATCCCTGCACCGCTCTATGGTATCCTGATTCTTATATTACGGTGGCCGCCAGGGGCAAACGTGTTACAACATTTACATTAGGAAAAATGCAATGAAGAAGCATCTTCACCAACCCCCAAAAAGCAGAATAGGACCTCTTTGAATCAAAGCTGGTTTCCTCCTTGTCTTTTGATTACGCCCTGAGAGAGGATTAGACATCGTGTGTTGCACAACAGAGATAAGGTGATACTGTGGGGTCGTCTGATGAAGGTCAGCTACCCAGCAGCACAAGAGCAAAGGTGGAGGAGTTTAAGAGATCAATAGGTTCCTCTCTTTCAGATGCATGGTGGTGAGAAGGAGAGGTCACAGGAGACTAATCGACCCCTTTAAAGTTTGAGCGATTTATAAGCAAAGTGACCGTCCTCATTGAAAACATGTTAAAGGTCCCCTATCATCCTCTTCTTCATCAATACATCACAGGTCTCAGATATATCCAGAGCCTGTCTCTGATTGGCTGAAACACCAAACAGATCATTGCAGCATTACCCATAATCCCCTGTTTCCAAAGTGCTGATTCTCTGTCTGTTACTTCAGATGAAAATAAGGAGCCCCTCCCCACGCCCCTCTGAGAGAGATTTGGTTACAAAGAACTCAATGGTGCTCTAGGAGGAGATCCAGGTGATAAGGGGGGGGGGGTTCAGCTCCGGTTTCCCTTTTCAGCTCCCGCTCTGTTCACACCGCCCAGAGCTGCCGCTGCTGCGTCATGACGTCACCGTTTACATCGCTGATTTTCTCCCCAACGTAGCTCACAACAACAACAACAACAACAACAACAACGGGGGACTGCGTCGGGTCGATGGTCGTGTTGCTTTTAATCATACGAAGCCAGATTAAATTAAATAACGACTTCTCCAACCTTATACTTTTCTCCAGAGTGCCGTGGTTCATTGTTTATTAATGTGTTTCAGCGGCATTTACCGACCGCTGCAGTGCTGCTGCTCTTCCACTGGAGTGTATTCTCCCGTTAGCTCCGGGTTAGCTCACACGGCTCTAAAGCATTCACTGTCTGACTGTCACACAAGCAGCTGATACATATCCCCAGTTCCCCTTAAGTGAATGTGTGTCAGTCTGAATTGACGCTGTTTGGTGTCAGTCTGAATTGACGCTGTTTGGCATCACAACGCTGTTATGAAAGTTTCTCTGGTATAACATGGGTGATGTTAGCATAGCAACCGAAGCTAAACTGACTACTTGCTAAGCCGTTTTCTCCGGGCACTTTTTACCGACGTATTTTTCATTATGATTCTACTTGTGATAGTCGGACATGACAACCTGTGCAGCCCATGTATTGATTCCATCCGATAGCTGCTATAATAACAAACAAAACGTCTGCCTGCTCTCCACAATGATCAATAACAGCGAACGGATGGTCAAAGTAAGGTACAAATAAACAGAATCACACGAAGCCTGGTTAGTGTTGCCTGACTTTATAAAGTGTGTTTTTTTTTATAAGTGTGTGGTTGCCTTCTAGTCACTTTGCTCAGCGCTACTGCTTGTAGGCAGGCATGACGAGACTCTTCAGTCGACCCATGTTCAGGGAGGTCGGTTTAGTTTCCTGCACGCCTCGACGTAAGAGAGACGTAAGCGACGCCGCGTCATAGCTCCGAAGCTCTTGCTTCTAGACCGACAATTTTTTGGAGCTGGAAGTGAACCGCATTCCGGAGCTAAGACGCGGCGCTGCTGCGGTGTGAACAGGAAAAACCGGTACTTTTGCGCCGGTGTGAAAGGGGCATCAGTCGTGAAAATAAGGCGTCAGAATCAGAAATACTGGTTTTATTTCCAGTTGTTCAATTTGTTATGAGAAATATAATAAAAGATAAATACAAATAAATTATTATATGAAAAAATAAGTGCAAATATGAAATAAAAAGATAAAATAAGATATATAAATATAAGAGATTAAAGTAAAATGTCTAATGAAACATCTACTATAACAAAGAATGAGATATAAAAACATCAGAGAGTAAAATGTCCAATAAAGTAAATAATAAAATGTATTCACTTCTGAAATGAGAGGAAAAATGTCTAATAAACGATAAAATAAAAAGATAAAATATTAAATAAACACAAGCCTAACAGAAAGCAGTCTGCAGGAGGAATACATGATCGAGGTTTTAATGTGTTTCCTCTGAATAATTGATGCATGTTTCTCAGGTTGTTCAGGGACACAGAGTACAGAAATGTGTGTGTGTGTGTGTGTGTGTGTGTGTGTGTGTGTGTGTGTGTGTGTGTGTGTGTGTGTGTGTGTGTGTGTGTGTGTGTGTGTGTGTGTGTGTGTGTGTGTGTGTGTGTGTGTGTGTGTGTGTGTGTGTGTGTGTGTGTGTGTGTGTGTGTGTGTGTGTGTGTGTGTGTTTCCTAATCTGCCCAGCAACAAGGTCACCGTGGTGAATCTCTCTTCGAAAGTGTTGAAGTTAATCTCTGACAGTTTTGCCTCGTCTTCAGAAAACCGTAAATAGTATCGATACATTTTTTGACCGTGATCATCTGAGAGCTATAATTAACCATTTGTGTGTTTAGTGTGTAAAATGTGGCCGTGGCGGCAGTTTCACTAAAGTCTTCAGGCTCTACCAGGAGCAGAACAATTTACATGGGCGTGTGGGCGAGGCAGCTGAGTTTGTGTCACTCTAGAGCTCTGTTGGGCCAGATGTGTCCGTCAGTTTGATATGATGAAGGCATTGAGACAACACTGAGTAATTTAGCTACTCAAACATCTACAAAAGACTCCACAAAAGAGTGAATATTATGGAACTTAGAGCAAGTTTAAGAATTGTTTTCAGGAGATTTTAAACACCCTCTACACTCTAATGGCGCTTTTCCACTGCAGGACCTAGCACGGCTTAGTACGGTATGGTTAGGCTCAGTTTATGCTGCGTTTCCATTACAGTTTAGTAGCTGGGGCAGTAACTATAGTAACGCAGTGTAGGCGGAGCCGTGACGTCATCTTCAATGCGAACCACAAAACCAACATCAGCCGTTAGCTGTTAGCACTCAGAGCTCACAGCTCCTCATATCTGTTCAGAAACTAGACCAAAGTGAAACAAGTACAAACCACAGACTGTCTGTGTCATGGAGAATACAGTCGCTGCT